TTAATTTTATTTTTTTTTTTTTTATTTTTTTAAATTATTTTTTTTCCCCCCCCCCCCCCCCCCCCGGAGAAGCAGGCCCCCCTCCGTGGGAAGCCACACCCCGGCCGCACGTGCATGCGGAGAGGCGCGGCGCGCGAAGGCTAATTATAGACGGGAGACACGGGCAAGGGTGGTTTCGCACTTTTGCTTCGCACGCAGAGTTGTTTCTGTGGTGGCCTAATCAAAGAGGCGGGCGGCGGGGGCGCGAAGGTTCCGGGCGAAGCGGAAGCAAGCTATTTTCAAAAGGGCGGCGGGTGGGTGGGCGCGTTTTTGGTTTGTTCGTGGCGAGAGGTGTGAGAGAGGAAAGAAGGAGGAGGGGGATGGCACGGTGGTGTGGGTGGCGGGCACAGGGTGTACGGTAGGCTGCCTCATGTGAGAGTTGTTAGACTTGCACAAACATTCAGTGAAGGTCATAGAAAGGTGCGGGGACAGACTCTATTTACCGCCCTTGTAATGCTGTTGCATAAACGGATTGCGATGATGATGAGATTTGAAAAAGGGAGGCAACGGCGACAGTACACAATCAGAGTACCAACGGTACTGTACACGAGCCCTATCCCTTGACGCAACTCCGATTTGCTCCAAAGGAGGCGGTCCCGGCGCTGTTAGAGTGGTAGCCTAACAGGCACAACGGCCCCTCTGAGGGGATGCTCTCATTCCCCGTTCCCAGTTGAGAGAGGCCGCGTGCATCTCCGCATGCGGCAGGGGGGGGGGCACGCCCCTGCGCCGCGCCCCAAACGCAATACAGTACCCTTGTACCGACTGTATGCGCGATCCGACACCAACAACCGCAGCCGTCTTGCCGCCTCGATCATACCTCCACCGCCCTCAAAACCACTCCTTTTTTCGCACATTCCACCCCGCACTACGTGTACACCGCCCCGCACGGCCCCCGCATTGGCGCACCACAAGCTACTGCTGCGTCACACCCTGCCGTCTCCTGCGCCCGCCGTCTTCGACCTGCGGCCCCCCGCAACAACACCCGCACGGCCGCCGCCCAGCTGGCGCCGCCGCCCCGCCGCGGATTGGCTGTGTCTCGCGCCCGCCTCCCTGTCCCGCGCGAGTGAATTAACCGCCGCGCCGCCGACCCAAATTCGGGTTCTCCCTGCTTGTAAATAAAGTTCTTTATCATACGCGATATGCACCGTGAAGAGCGAAGACCCGTCGCACACACACAACACAGTGTGTTGAACACACACACAGAGAGGCCGCTTGCCGCGCCACACGTACCGCACGTCGTCGCCTCGCCCAGTCGCCTCGCCCAGTCCGTGCTTGCCCGCCCTCCCGCGCGCATGACGTCACGCCCGCGGGAACACGCCCGACACCCACCGGTGTGTTGTGTCCGGCTTGTGTCTGGGCGCGGCGTGCGTGCGCGCGCGCGCGTCGGGCGTGGAACACGCGCTGTAACGCCGTCGCGCATTACAGCGGCCGACCGCGCCGTAAACACCAGCCCGCGTCACGCAACTCCGCCCCGCGCGCCCGCCAAATCGCCGCGCCGAATCGCC